CTTAAGTTGCTCCAAGTCTTCTGCCCCCTTATGAAAATTTTCAGCCTTAACAAAAGAATTCAACTTGCTGATTTTCCACGGCGAATGCCTATTTGCATGTATAAGGATGCGGGAAGTTTTTTCATTTTTTTTCTCACACTGCCCCATTGTTTGCAAGCCATAAATTTACTTAACTTAAGTTTCTCCAAGTCTTCTGCCCCCACATGAATATTTTCAGCCTTAACAAACGAATTCAACTAGCTTATTTTCCACGGCGAATGCCTATTTGCATGTATAAGGATGCGGGAAATTTTTTTATTTTTTTTCTCACACTGCCCCGTCGTTTGTAAGCAATAAATTTACTTTTCTTAAGTTGCTCCAAGTCCTCTGCCCCCACATGAATATTTTCAGCCTTAACAAACGAATTCAACTAGCTTATTTTCCTCGGCGAACGCCTATTTGCATGTATAAGGATTCGGAAAGTTTTTTCATTTTTTTTCTCACACTGCCCCATTGTTTGCAAGCAATAAATTTACTTTTCTTTAGTTGCTCCAAGTCTTCTGCCCCCACATGAATATTTTCAGCCTTAACAAAAGAATTCAACTAGCTTATTTTCCTCGGCGAACGCCTTGTTGCATGTATAAGGATGCGGGAAGTTTTTTCATTTTTTTTCTCGCACTGCCCCGTCGTTTGTAAGCAATAAATTTACTTAACTTAAGTATCTCCAAGTCTTCTTCCCCCACATGAATATTTTCAGCCTTAACAAACGAATTCAACTTGCTGATTTTCCACGGCGAACGCCTATTTGCATGTATAAGGATGCGGGAAATTTTTTAATTTTTTTCACACACTGCCCCGTCGTTTGTAAGCAATAAATTTACTTTTCTTTAGTTGCTCCAAGTCTTCTGCCCCCACATGAATATTTTCAGCCTTAACAAACGAATTCAACTAGCTTATTTTCCACGGCGAACGCCTATTTGCATGTATAAGGATGCGGGAAGTTTTTTAATTTTTTTTCTCACACTGCCCCGTCGTTTGTAAGCAATAAATTTACTTTTCTTTAGTTGCTCCAAGTCTTCTGCCCCCACATGAATATTTTCAGCCTTAACAAACGAATTCAACTAGCTTATTTTCCACGACGAACGCCTATTTGCATGTATAAGGATGCGGGAAGTTTTTTTATTTTTTTTTCTCACACTGCCCCGTCGTTTGTAAGCAATAAATTTACTTTTCTTAAGTTGCTCCAAGTCTTCTGCCCCCACATGAATATTTTCATTCTTAACAAACGAATTCAACTTGCTGATTTTCCACGGCGAAAGCCTATTTGCATGTATAAGGATGCGGGAAATTAGTTAATTTTTTTTGCTCACACTGCCCCGTCGTTTGTAAGCAATAAATTTACTTTTCTTAAGTTGCTCCAAGTCTTCTGCCCCCACATGAATATTTTCATTCTTAACAAACGAATTCAACTTGCTGATTTTCCACGGCGAATGCCTATTTGCATGTATAAGGATGCGGGAAGTTTTTTTATTTTTTTTCTCACACTGCCCCGTCGTTTGTAAGCAATAAATTTACTTTTCTTAAGTTGCTCCAAGTCTTCTGCCCCCACATGAAAATTTTCAGCCTTAACAAAAGAATTCAACTTGCTGATTTTCCACGGCGAATGCCTATTTGCATGTATAAGGATGCGGGAAGTTTTTTTATTTTTTTTCTCACACTGCTCCGTCGTTTGTAAGCAATAAATTTACTTTTCTTAAGTTGCTCCAAGTCCTCTGCCCCCACATGAATATTTTCAGCCTTAACAAAAGAATTCAACTTGCTGATTTTCCACGGCGAATGCCTATTTGCATGTATAAGGATGCGGGAAGTTTTTTCATTTTTTTTCTCACACTGCCCCATTGTTTGCAAGCCATAAATTTACTTAACTTAAGTTTCTCCAAGTCTTCTGCCCCCACATGAATATTTTCAGCCTTAACAAACGAATTCAACTAGCTTATTTTCCACGGCGAACGCCTATTTGCGTGTATAAGGATGCGGGAAATTTTTTTATTTTTTTTCTCACACTGCTCCGTCGTTTGTAAGCAATAAATTTACTTTTCTTAAGTTGCTCCAAGTCCTCTGCCCCCACATGAATATTTTCAGCCTTAACAAACGAATTCAACTAGCTTATTTTCCTCGGCGAACGCCTTGTTGCATGTATAAGGATGCGGGAAGTTTTTTCATTTTTTTTCTCGCACTGCCCCGTCGTTTGTAAGCAATAAATTTACTTAACTTAAGTATCTCCAAGTCTTCTTCCCCCACATGAATATTTTCAGCCTTAACAAACGAATTCAACTTGCTGATTTTCCACGGCGAAAGCCTATTTGCATGTATAAGGATGCGGGAAATTTTTTAATTTTTTTCTCACACTGCCCCGTCGTTTGTAAGCAATAAATTTACTTTTCTTTAGTTGCTCCAAGTCTTCTGCCCCCACATGAATATTTTCAGCCTTAACAAACGAATTCAACTAGCTTATTTTCCTCGGCGAACGCCTATTTGCATGTATAAGGATGCGTGAAGTTTTTTCATTTTTTTTCTCACACTGCCCCATTGTTTGCAAGCAATAAATTTACTTTTCTTTAGTTGCTCCAAGTCTTCTGCCCCCACATGAATATTTTCAGCCTTAACAAAAGAATTCAACTAGCTTATTTTCCTCGGCGAACGCCTTGTTGCATGTATAAGGATGCGGGAAGTTTTTTCATTTTTTTTCTCGCACTGCCCCGTCGTTTGTAAGCAATAAATTTACTTTTCTTTAGTTGCTCCAAGTCTTCTGCCCCCACATGAATATTTTCAGCCTTAACAAACGAATTCAACTAGCTTATTTTCCACGGCGAAAGCCTATTTGCATGTATAAGGATGCGGGAAATTATTTAATTTTTTTTGCTCACACTGCCCCGTCGTTTGTAAGCAATAAATTTACTTAACTTAAGTTTCTCCAAGTCTTCTGCCCCCACATGAATATTTTCAGCCTTAACAAACGAATTCAACTTGCTTATTTTCCACGGCGAACGCCTATTTGCGTGTATAAGGATGCGGGAAATTTTTTTATTTTTTTTTCTCACACTGCCCCATTGTTTGCAAGCAATAAATTTACTTTTCTTTAGTTGCTCCAAGTCTTCTGCCCCCACATGAATATTTTCAGCCTTAACAAACGAATTATACTTGCTTATTTTCCACGGCGAACGCTATTTGCATGTATAAGGATGCGGGAAGTTTTTTAATTTTTTTCTTGCAATGCCCTGTCGTTTGTAAGCAATTAATTCATTTAACGTTAATTGCCCCGCGTCAAATGCCCCCGCGTGAAAAATGTCAGGCTTTTGGTTTTTTCTAAAATTAAATTTATTGTTCTGGTGCATGAATGAAATTTCAAACGCGCCGTCCTACTGACCGAGTCTATATTTAAAGTTTTATTCTTGATTAAAATCATGAATGTTTTTTTTTTCATTATTTAGCACGATTTAAATTAAGAATCTAGCTTGTAATATTGACTCAGTTCGGTCAGCGCGTATGATTGAAGTTCTTTAATTCACCAGAACAATTAAATTTTGTCTGTAGAGGTTAAATGAAAAAAAGTTAAATTCTTGATTTTCCCGTACCCTTTCTACGTGCGTGGCACCAATAACGCGCATTGCTTCTTCCTCTGGTAATCTTTTTTTTTTTTTAGTTTTATATTCTCTTGGAAAAATATACAACAGCATGTGATAAAAATATCAAAATTAATTATGATTGAAGTTTTTTCTTCATAATTTACAACACAATTGCAGTTGGAAATATGAAATTAAAAATGATAAAATAATTTAGTGATTTGCTATATATTATTCATGACTATCAAACGGAGAAAACATAAATAAATTTAATAAACAATTAAGTGGAGGAGTTGAAGTAGTTTTTATTTACATAAGTAATTTGAAGCTACCATTATAAATATATAAAATGTAATTATATTAATTAAATTTTTATGAGCTTTATAAAAATTTAAAATGGTTTCCAGCGATCAATTAGCAAATTTGCTTATATTTGAAAATAGTTTTCCGCTAGTGAATAATTAAAATATAGCCGAAATATAAAAGCGCGGAAGGTAAAATGCAAAAATTACCCTTGATAAAAATCAAACTCCTTTTTCCTTAGCCTCTGGTTGGTAATTTAATTGAAGTTCACGCAATTAATATACATTGAATTTGAAATTCCATGAAGATTCAATTATGAAAAAATCTAAAGCATGGCATAATTAGTTGAAATGAAAATGCTAGGATAACTAATCATTTTCCAATGCTGTCTATAATTTTGTGAAATATATAGTTAAGGCATAATTTAAAAAAATAATAATTTAATCGTTACAAGTTTACGTATGAGGTTTGCTAGTGGGTATATGCGGTAGTTGCAAGTGCAAGTCAACATAATTTTTTTTTCAGTAATAACCATTTTTATAGCGCTCTTCCCTTCCCTCAAAACGTTGATAAGGAAATTTGTGGCTGATCAACTCCTCATAAGAATCTATATCATGCTAAGGTTCAAGTTAATTACGAAAGGTTTCTTCTTAAATCATAGTGATTTTTACAACATTACAATTACTCATAAAATTTTGCTGGTTCCTTGTTTTGAAGAATTAAGACAAAAGGCGCAGTTTGAAACATTTAATAGACAGCCTGTTCTTCTTCTCATTGCAGAAAACTAATTCCTAATTTTCTGCAGCTGCAAAAATGCGGAGCGAATACGATCAGAGAAGAAATGGACGCTCATTCATCTAGCAGATTTTTTTCCAAGGAAAGAGAACCTGTGGCAGTGCATCTATGTGAACGCCCAGCGAGAACGAAGAAAAGTCTCAAGAAAGACCTCTCCACAGCAGAGGCCATCCACAAACTCATAGCACCATGTAGCATTTGAAAGATCTACCATCGGTAATTGAATTGAAATTATAGATAATTTGACATAACCATTTTATAACCATCAGATTTTGAGGTTTATGGTAATGTCATCATAAATATGCCTAATTTACTCTTTACAAATTTATCATAACAAGAGCAATAAATTTATCTATAAAATGCTAATTAATTTGACATAGTCGAACTTTACTTTGAAAATTTCACATATTGCACTTGCATCATTCGAAGTATTAGAACGGAATTAGATAAATTATTTGAGTTTTTAGTTACAATTGAACAATTTTTATAAAGCGCAATTTTTTATGTGGCAATTATTTAGGAAGCCTCTAATTTATCATTTCAAACTAACCATTTTACTGAACTACAAGCGATGTAAATATATAATTGGTGCACTTTTAGATAATTGTTTCATGATGGCCTTACAACCAGTGACGTTTGTCTACATGGCGCACATTAATAGGTGACACGGCAGCATCCTCGAATAGCACTTACCACAGCAATTTGCTTCTAGCTGGAGTTATTTGCGCAATAGACTGGTCTCCTATCATCAATCTTGGTCATAAACACTTGGTCATGACCAACACAAGCAATGTTAAATACCCTTAGCCCCACCAAATTGATATCGCTAGCCGGACGATTTATATAGAGATAAGTATATTAAAAAAGGTTCTAATTTCTGTATTTCCTATTTAAAAAAATTTCGGCCAAACCAACTTGCAACACAAGCAACCTTTCAAAGCGCAGCAGTATGTTTGATTGAGTCTTCCATATGTCTTATGAAAATGAACCATTAAAAATTTCTAACAATATTTAAGAGATTTTATGGGGCTCATCGTCCCTTGACCTTTGCCCAGGTGATAAATAAAAACACCCCACAAAATTTTTTTTCTTTTTGCCCTACATACAGAATTTGTTGACGAGTTATAAAACCACACTCAAAGTTGATTTATATAAATTTTTTACAAATAATTTTCAGCTGTAGTGCCAACAAGCAGATATTATCGGGCGACTCCGCATGCAATTAAATCGAAGGTGCTGAAACAAAATTTTATATATTATGCTTTTATAAACTAACTCATTGTGATAACTTATAATGCAAAGTTCCTATTTTACAATTGAAACGAAGTTATTTTGAGAAAAATATTATTTTTCTTTACCTTCCGATGGGCAATTGAAGGGAAAGCTTCTGCTGACTGAGTCGGGAGGCAAAACTGCCCTTAGTAAATACTGACAGGGTTCTAAAAAATCAACAAAATACGATTTCAATATTTAAGAATAGAGCAAAAGGAAAGTACAAACCTTTTTTAATTGACAAAAGTGACTGCGACAAAATCAGAAGTGGCAAAAGAGGGCAGCAAGTGCAAAAGAGTCAACCGAGGCGTAGAACTGGAAACTGGCAGCATCGTGTGAAAAACACTACAGAGAAAAAACATGCATTACATTTGTCGAATTTTACTTGAGTGTTCCAATTATTAATTATCAAATTCAAAACTTTCAACTCACCAACGCACTTTGAGCATGCTGGAGCTATAGTTGCCTTTCCAGTAGTAGCTGCTTTTAACCTGCAGGAAGGGTAATCCTAATCGAACCATTTCCTTGTTCGTGGGTGACCGTCGAGCCAGTTGAGAAGGCCACATTGGCCCCCATCCTGAGGCATTAGTCGATGGCCCCCTTGGCGTCCACTGCAGCCTGACGTTTCTTGCTTGGTCGGTTTCCTGGCCAGGCCTCAAGCAGATCCGGTTGCCGGTGCTTCCTCTGCGACCGAAAGAAATTTTTGATTGAGAATTTGATGATAAAAATGGTTCAGAAGGATCTCTTACCTTTCTACACTCCATTGGCTTGCAAGGCAGAGGAGTCTGTGGGAAAATAAATAATAATTTTAGTTAGTGTAATTTTAAGTGGCAAGTTCAAGAATTTGTTTCTTTTTTTAAAATATATTGTTTTCTAACAATAGTGTTAAGAATTATTCTATAATTAAATTATTAATAATTAAGGTATAATTACTAAAAAAAATCTGTCATATTATTAAATGAAACAAACCTCGTAAAAATCTCCAGATTGTTGCACAGGTCAGCCGATATTCACATTTTGGTCACAGGATTGCACTTCCTGGTCGCTCTGAAGTCAGAAAAAAGAGGCAAAGCAACACAAAATGTCCTCATAAAAATTCAAGAGAAGTGGCAGAAGAAAAAATGAGTTGAGGTCGGAGCACCTCGAGCAACGCAGCGTCCGTTGGCGGTTGGACGGCGCCTTGCCGGAGGTGCCCCAGGCCTCGAAGGTCCACGAAGGCGCGTCGGAAGCAAAATTCCCACGCGCCACCCTGGCAGGGCTGCACCAGGGGTGGACCAAAGTGGAGGAGGTTAAGATGAGAATGGATTCATTTACCTGAAGCAGATCCAGAAACCAGACGTTGACCCCAGGAGGCCCAGGAATTCAGCTGTAAAAAACAAAGTTGAAAAACAATGTTCACAGGGTTGAAAAGAAGCACTCACCTTTTGAAAAAATGGACTTCAATCGATTTCTTACAATATAAAGGCGTTAAAAAGAGAGATAAATAAAAAGCAAAGTTTTCAAATTTTAAATTAAGTAATATTATTTATGTAAGACAATCAAATAAAATATTAAATGAATTAAATCATAAATAGACAAATATTTGTGTAGTCTAAACAATGCTTCATAATGAAAGAGCTATTTACATATGATTTGTGTCAGGCTTTACACAACTCAATTTGGCGCGCACAAGGATAACACTTTCAGCTCCGGGCAAAAAATTCTCTTAAGTAAAAAAAATAAGCACCTCTGTGAGCCCCCCGAGAAATCGGCCTTGCGTGCCACGAGTTGGCTGGCGAGTTTCTTAAGCACGGGGACATAGGCCGTGCTTACCCGGCCCAACCAACCTTCTGCGCTGTTGATCTTTCTTTCGTTGAGCGAAACGGATACTCCACTAGGTCATTCCCAGGATCCGAAACTTACGCTAAGGACCCCAGGCCTCAGCTTTTCAACCGAATTCGCGCGCAGAGCGTGGGGAGCAAGTGCAGACTTCCTCGAGGAATGTGACCAGTTTTTCTTGATGCCCAACTGGCGTTTCACTCGGTCTCAATGCAAATCAAAAAACGGCAGAGGTGTTTGAAAAAAAAGATGGGAAGAAAACACTAAAATTTGATTAAGAAAAGGAGCTTTCCGTGTTTTTGGACGTAATCAAGGCGCCATGGGTTTTTGTTACAAATTCTAACGTAAGTGTTTTGTCGGTTGCAAAAAGGTTTCATTTTACATTGTTTTATGTGTCGATAAATGTCTGCGCCCCAAAGTGAGGTCGGTGAGGCAAAAAAATTGTCGTATAGACTGCTCCAGCGTCATTCAATCAATAATGGTACAAAGAAATGTTATCAATTAGGCAGCGTAAAAATTATTAAATTTGTACTGCAAAATTTGGCCGCGATTTATGCTTGTACAATTTATAGTGTAAACAATGCAGACACAATTTGTTGCTTCTGTCTCGACCGAAAGCAAATATTGAGAATCAGATAAGATAGTATGAAATTTTATGTACAAGGCATTAAATTAAATAACAAAGGCGGCCCAAGTGTGACCACTCAAAAAACTAGTAGGGCAACAATATGCTCAAACGTCACTCAAACATATTTACAAGTATTGGAAAATTCTGCAGACTGCAGAGAATCATGTTGAACGGATTTGGTTGAACAGACAGGTCAGTGTGCTCTCTCCTCGGGTTTTCTCTCGTACACCGTGCGTGTATGGCTCTGGTGTGTCTTGCTCCGCCTCAAGGTCAGACGGATGTCTTGGGCAGGTCCACGGCTTAGTGCGCCTCGGTCCTCATCCAGCTCCTCTCACTAGCTCACCCAGTTAAACTACTCCACTACTACGGCCTCAATATGCAAAATTAAAAAAAACTGAAGCTAACTTTAACTGGCTACGACACGCAAGGGACTGATTCTATTTCTTTTTGCAATTAAGGGGGGAGCCGCCGGGGTTGCAGTTAAGTGCCGAAGCCAGACAAACAAAAATCTCTAAGTGGAATTATTGGCATATATATGAGAAAAGGTGGCGGCGCGTTTGCCAAAATTACTCGCCACAATCTCGGAGGTGTCAAAGCGACTCTTGCAAAGGGACAAAATTCAATTCAGACGGGGTCACTTGCAACCAATATCCACCCTGCGGTTGTGGAATTCTTCTTTTCCACAACCCTGCACAGCACTTTGGACATAAGGATGTCCACCCACCCCGCACAACCTCTCGCAGACACACAATTACAGGGAGACTCGTGCAAATAATTATCTCCTCTCTCTCTCTCTCTTTCCAGAAGACTCGGTTGTGCAAAACTCGCTGCCAAATTTGAACAGTTTTACTGGCTGTGCTTGCGGGTTCCTCTCCGCATTTTCACTTTTGGTTTTGTCATCTAACATGACGGAGCAAAACTAAAAAAATTCCCAAAAAGAGCAAGTGGCTTTCCAGGGTTAATTACTGCATTGTTAACAAATTGTGGGCTTTTTTGTTTCAAAAACGGATTCAGAATTAAAACTCTCAAACATTTTTGCTCTTTACTACATCAAATCATAAAGCTGATTTTCCTACCATAAACTTTGTTAAATTCCATATTTCTATCTGGAGTAATTAATGCAAAGACTTATCCCTGCTCGGAGGGAAATAAACTCCTCACTGCACCTCTTGGATGTGCATCTCTCGGTCCTATCTAAACTAACGTGGCGAAATTTATTGTCAAATTATTAATATTACAGAAGTTAAATCATTGCGGCTTTTAATTTTCTTTCGCCATTAAAAGAACTAGAATTTAGATACTCATTTGCGTAAAAAATTTAATTGTCCACTTTTCTCCGTCCGTGGTAAACAATTGTTAACAGAAACTTTTTGATTTTAATGTCTGACATGATCAGAATTTTGGCTCATTTTCTCCAGATTTTTTTAAATTGATTAAGTTAAATAGATTCAATCCTTTGATTGAAAGTCTTTGTATCAAAACATGATGACAAATTGTCATTTAAAAATTTAATCTTCTACTCGGAGCCTCACGAAATCTCTTTCCCACTCACTAAATTCTCGGTGGAAATTGCTGCTGCCTGGCTCAGACTCAGACAGACAACTTGTAGAACGTTAGGACAGCAGTCCCCTCTCACGTTGGTGCTCATTCGAATGAGTCAAAGTGAAGAAAATTTCACTGCCATTGAAAAAATTTGGTATTAATTTTTAATTGAATTGAACTTTATTTTTCATTTTGGAGAAAGATTTAGATTTAATTGCAAAGTTTAACCTATTCACAAGCTCTTTCAAATTATTGATTTATGACAAATTTGTCAAACAAAATATTCATTTCTCCAAGGAAACTGAAACTTTTATTACTAATTGTTTATTGAAGGAATTTGCGAGCAACTTTAAAAAATACTGGCATGTGTTTCTTACTTTCTGATGATCTATTTCTGGTATTTTCTTCTCACCAGACATATATGCAGGCAAAATCAATTTTTATCTGATTCGTCGTTCTCTCAGTGAATTGAGAGGGGCCGCAGATGTAGCATGACTGCTACCGCTCGTCATTCCCAAGAGGGATTCTCTGTTGATTCAATTCACATAAAACTATTGCTCAGGGCAATTTCCAAATCTCTCTTTTGATGCCAGTTTTGGAGATGATTTTTATTTTAAAGTAAGTCAAATTTAATTCTAATTTTGGACTTTGCACTAGACACAAAACATGAAATTTTATTATTTTTATAGCTGTAAGTTAATTTTTCTAATTATTTATATGCTAAAATATTGGCCAAACCAGGACTTGCGGAGGGTTAAGAATATTCTTGTTGGAGAATATCAAGTTACAGGATCAAGCCTTTCTTTGGCTTCGCAGTTTCTGGACCATTCTGGTCTTCGTTGGTGCAAGGAAAGCTCGCATGCACTTTTGGTTGACGAATTTCCTCCGAATCCACAGAGGCTGGTGACTTTTGAGTCATTTTCCATCAAAACGCCGTCCGTCAAGCAGAACAGATATCTTTCAAATTTACAAATGTTTAAAAAAAAAAAAATTCTTTTTCGAATTTCGCAGTTTCTTGACCATTCTGGTCTTTGCAGGTGCAAGTTATTCGCATTTCTTTTTTCGTTGATGAATTTCCTCTGAATCCACAGAGGGTCGCAGGCTAGTGACTTCGGAGATGAGTTTTGCACCTCAAATTCAATTGATTTTGAATTCATGCAGTCGGTTGAACAAACAGAAATATTTCACATTTGATTAATAACAATAATTGTTTGCAAAATAGCTTTGTGCTTGAAACTAGTTACTCTAATTTTCATTTCCTTAGGTGATCCATTTTTTGATGCAAAATCTACTATTATAGAATTAATATGGATCACTTTTAAATTAAAACGTAGCGATTATCATTGGTCAAGGAAGTTTCAATTATCTCTCTTTGCAATAATTAAAAGAGCATTTTCTCAACAATTTTCTAATTGATTTCTATCTTTTATGTGGTTGCAAATTTCGCTCTTTTCTTCAGTGTGTCAGGAAACTTTCTGCAATTTATTTGCAAATCCTTCACTGTCATTTCAGCTCAAAACTTCACTCCTTTTTTTTCCAGAAGCACTTGCAAGAAAATTCACATTAATTTAAACTTATTTTGCTTGGAAAGGAAAAATCTAAAGAAAAAAATCGAGGTTTCCTCAAAACTTTAATTGGAGGCAAATTAATTGTTTTTGTTTGCTTCATCAGTAGAGTTAGCCCTTCAGCCTGAACACTCATCTTTTGAATTGACCAAAACAAATTATATCAGTTTGGTGTGCCAACGTAGAATTTTCGAAACGTTTGTCGCAGGTGATTTGGTCACGGAATTTCTTTCGAATTGGAAAGAATTGTTTCCATCATCTCTAATGAAATTAAATTTGCAGATTTTCTCATCAATTTCATACAACGATCATCTCATCTCGGTTAATAAAAGCAATTTTGCTTCTCCTTTCAACTTCTTCCATTTTTCCTAACATGATGGTTTTCACTCCAACCTAAAAGCTCAAAACCTTTCCCTACTTTTGAAAACTTGTTTCGTCTCGTCGATTATTTGTTCTTAATTGTTTTCACTAGAAACCGCGGCGAATTTGCTCATTTTCTCCAATTTCATTCTGTTGTAGCTAAATTTGCCAAACATATTAGACTTTTTTGGGTGAAATTGCGCAAAGGTTGTGTGTGTTTGCAAATTCCACGAGTTTGATGATTATTTTCAGACGATAAAAACTGTTATTTCAACTTCACAATCAAAATTAAAATTTGATTCAATTCGGGTTTTCTATCACTAATTTCCATCACGACAGAACAATTTTAGAAACTGGTTCCCAGTGTTGCTGTTTCTTTA